TCCCAGCTCCTTCCACTGCGGGAGGCGGTCGGGGCGGAGCTGCCGTCGAGCCATGCGGGCGTCGGGCAGGCCAGCCTCGCAGTGCGCTGCCGCAGCCGGGATCTTCGCGTCCGCCTGTTTGGCCAGGCCCTGGTCCGCCTCGGACCAGGCCTCACCTTCCCCGAGGCTCAAGAGGAGGTGGGCAATACGGGCCCTCGCCAGGATGTCGCGTTCCGTGGGTTCTGGGCCGCATAGTGGTCCGAAGCCCAGCTGCGCCCAAGGATCAGCGTCGAGCTTGCCCAAGATCGCCTTGAGGTCCTGCCAAGTTCCCGGGAAGGACACTGTGGTATGATGCTGTTCTGAAGCCGTCCTGCCCGCCTGGACGAGCTCGACGTACTGGAGGGCCTCCGCCTTGAAGAGCTCCTGGAAGTCGTGTGCGGATAGGAGGTGCTGGGAGGAACCAGGCGGCTGCTGACCTACGGACGGCAGCGCGGTGGGGGAGGCGGCACCAGCAGCTGCGATTCCGGCGGGGTGCGCCGTGGCAGCTGTTGGCGGATCAAGTCCAAGTGGAATCGGAGCTCCAGCCAGCTGCAGCGCCGCTGCAGCGCCGCTGCAGCCCGACCCCTCCGTGTCGTCGTCAATGTCCATGCTCCCCGCCACGGCAGCTGGAGCCGCGGCGGCTGGGTCCGCGGTCGCCACCCCGGCGAAGTTCATGTCGAACGGCCGGTGCGCCGCGCAGACGCCCTCGCCTGGCAGGGCGAGGCCGTCCTCTCCGCGGGCCACGCAAACCCGGCAGCGCGCCGCCATGGGAATAAGGCGAGAGCGGAGAGAGCGGAGAGAGCCGGAATTGCGCCCTGTGCACGGGCCCTTGAGCCAAGACTTGAGCCATATTTGTCCTCCCTGTGCCCCCCCCTGTAAGATGAAGACGAGCCGAGGATCAACTCGCAAGAAGATGAAAATGAGGAACCTGTTTTTTAATTTTCCGCTTTAGCAGCCGTCACAGGCCCCGCCCCCCCCAGGTGACGTCACGTTCCGCGCCGGCGGCGTCCAGGAATGCCTACGGATGACCGGCGCCAAATAGGAGCAGCATGTCGGTGGCGATCTACACCACACGGTTTGTGTACACCAGTGCTCGCGTGCACCACAGCGCGCGTGCACACCACAGCGCCTGCGTACACCGTAACACAACGCAACGCAACGCAACGCCTGCGGTGTGCAATGCAACGCCTGTGTACACCACAGTGCTCGCGTGCACCACAGCGCTTGTGTACGCCACAGCGAATGTGTACTCCGCAGCAGCCGTCTGCAACGCAGTGCCTGTGAATCACAATGCACTCATGCACCGCAGCACCTGTATACACCACAGCGCCTGTGAACACCGCAGCATCCGCGTGCAACACAGCGCTGGTGCACACAACAGTGCCTGCGTGCGCAGGACAAGAAGAAGGAACATGTAGGTGAGGATCTGCTGCGGGAAGCTAAACAACACGCAAGGGTAGCGCGGATAATACAATGCGATGTTCTCCCCTCCTGCCTTTTCCTCCTCCTCCTCCCTTTCCTCCTCCCTCACCCTTCTCCCCGTCGTGCGGGTCGGCACTGCAGCGCATGTGCGCTTATCTCAGTGCGCACCGCAAAACAAGAATGGTCAACAACAGAAATAGGCGGTCGTGCCATGAAACGCCATGGTACCATGCCGCGGTGCCCCCATGCCACGGCGCCTCCCACTATACGGCCTCCGCAGTGCCCCACGCCTGAAGCGACCTGATTCAGGAGCACGCTGCCCCTGACTTCATGGGCGTCCCCAATAGGTACGGCATGTTTTCCTTCTCTTCCTCCTCTTACTCTTCCTCCTCCTCCTCTTCCTCCACCTCGGGAGGACTCGTAGATGCCAGAGGCGCTCCTTTTTCAGTAAAGATTCCTTTCCAAATCCGTGTGAAAGAAACATTGTTTCCAATGGAATCCACAGGCGCTCCATGTGTCGCAAGGATTCCTTCTAAATTTTTAAATGCAACAATGGTGCTCTGGTGCATACGGCTGGTGTGGTGCACACAGGCGCCGTGGTGTACACAAGCGTTGTGGAGCACGCAGGCACTGTGGTGTACACTGGTCTCTGTTGCACTCGGCTGTTGTGGTGTACGCAGGCGTTGTGGTGTACATAAGCGCTGTGGTGCACGCAGGCACTGTGGTGCACACTGGCGCCGTGTTGCAGACGGCTGCTGCGGTGTACACATTCGCTGAAGGCACTGTTGTGCAGATCGCCACCTACATGCTGTTCCTACCCATCTTCGGCCATTCCTAGGCACTCCCAGGCTTCGCCGGCGCGAAACGTGACGTCACCGGCCCCCTTCCCACCCCCCGGGTGACGGCCGTCATCGCGCGGTATAAAAATCTGGCTAGAGTCTATCTGGATTCTCGCGGGTCCTGGAGATGGGGTCTGGCGTGCGCCGTGGCGGTTTCGGAGAGCACCAGAACACTCTGAGAGCGATGCGGAACGCTCCGGAGCGATTTGTCTGTATCCCCAAACATCCAGTGTTTTGAATGTTCGAATGCGGTGTCCCTGGAAGCCCCGACACTTTCCCCAGGCAAATTGTTAATCCCGAGTCGTTTTTGTTAATTACGGCCCCAGGGCCCCGCGCGGGCCCTCGGAGGCCGAAAGCGACGAAACGCCTTTGCCCTGATTAGATGAAGAAAGACAGTATCAGTGGCACGACGCCGTCGGGACGCCATCAGCGTGTTCCCCAAGAAACGCCACGCCTTCGGACAAAAAACTGGCTCCCAACGGCGGCGCATCATTGGTACACTTCTTCCGTCCCTGCCAAGTTTTACGATGCAGTGGAGGTCTGCGAAGCCACCCCCCCTCCGAGTTGGGGGGTCGAAAGCCATGTGCTGATAGACCGCGCGGTGACCTCGAAATCAAGAGACCTCTCCGCGCGGTCCATTACCGCACGGTTTTGGGACCCTGGAGGCCCCAGTCGCCCGAGACATCCTCGGATACTGACCCGAGTTCCAAAGCCGTGCGGTAACCCCGAATCCCCACGGACTCACCACTAGAGGCCTCCCAAATGGGGTCGGAGTAGATGGGGTCGGAGAATCGCGCTGCACCTCCGATTAATCGGCGGCGTCGGCGTGGAGAAAACTCTGCCTCAACATCAAGCAGTATCGACGATGCATCGGCGCTGCGGCGCGATCCTCCGATCTGGAACCCATTTGGGGGAAACCAAGAGGTACTGGCACCGCTACTCCATAAACCTCTCCTGGGGTGCGTTCTGAGCATTTTTGTTTTTTTCCCCACCCGCCGAGCGCTACGACGGATTCCGTTTTTTTGTTGGAGGGCGACGAGGGAACGAGGGAGAGGAGGAGGGTGCGTTCTGAGCATAATTTCGAAGCGAATCCAGCGGTGGCGACGAGGGGCACCCAGGAAGCCCAACAAGGGAAAAACTGCGAGGGGAGGGCAGCGGCATCGGCACCTGTTCCTCATCTCACTCGCCGGCGAGCCCGGGAGAAGTGAGGAGGGGGGGCCTCCTCAGAAGGCCCACAAGTCCCCTGGCCTTCTGACAAGGCTTCTGAGCCTTCCCCGAAGAAGGCCCGGGGGCTTCCAGAAGCCCCGCCGCCTTCTGAGGAGGCCTCCTCCTTCTCACTTCCCCCGCTCGCTCGCCGCCGACCGACATCTGGGCAGGAGGGCCAAAAAAGTCGGATCGGCGATCGAAATGATTCGGATCGGCGGAGTCGGCAGCCGAATCGGGAGAAGTCGAACCGGCAGAACTCGGCAGGCTATCATGCCTCTATTCAGGAAACCCGAAACCGAATCGGATTGGAATCGGAGGTCATCGAAATCGGATCGAATCGAAACAAGCCCCGTCCCTGAGGCCCAGAGCCTCGCGGTGTGGTCACCACACGGCCTGGGGGCCCCCGACCGAAGCACCCCTCTGCGCTGCATCGAACCCTGCGCGGGAGCGGGCCGCCGCGCTGCGCGCGCGCGAGAGCGGGAGCCTTCCGTGGGCTGCGAGCTCCGCCAGATCGAGGCGTAGCTCTCGCCCGAGCCGGCGCACCTCGCGCGTGCGCGCGGTGTCTATGGCAACTCGGGGGGGCCTCTGCTTCTTGGGCCGTCTTGGAACAATAATGTTCGTCTGGGACCGATCGTGCGACGATTCGAGGCCCTCTTGGACCGTCCGTGCCGCCTCTTGGGGCACTCTTGGCCCGTCTCGGGGCCCTCGTGAGCCCGAAACGAATCAAGCGAGAAGCCGCGACGCGCCCCAAAGGGCACGCGACAAGACCCATAAGATTTGGCAACTGGGGGTTTGGGCCCCTACCAGACCACGCCAACCCAACCCCCGAAAACCTAAATTTCGGGTTGGGGGGGTACGGGTTCCACACGTGTTTCTTCAACGTTCCCCGACGTTCCCCCCAAACTGGGAATGGAAGGCAAATTGGGGCCTTCCGGTTGGGTTGGGGTGGATTGGTGGGTGGTGAGCCTCCCATGTCATTTGCGGATCGATTCTGCATTCTAACGCTAATCGACGCTCGTGCAAGCTTCCTCGTTTGTCCATTCACCGCAGCCGTTGGCACGAAACCAGAGGTTTCTGAACGCGTGCCCGTGCGCTGATAAAACAACTAGTGCTCTGACTTCTGCTGCGCTCCCAGACTGTCTATTAATCTTGGCATCGGCGCTTCCCCATCGATTGCCAGACGGAATTCCGAAGGCGGTGGCGGAGGGTGTGCGGGCGAACGCGGTGCGCGGAGGACAAACGCGGCCGTTGGCGTCTCCTCTGCGGCATGTTCGGGAGCGCCCGCGGCGGGGTCGCCGCCGCATCGACACGACACGAACCTGCCGTTGGTCGAGGAAGGGGAGGAAGAGCAGCTGCTGAAACGGGTCCGTCTCTGCGGGCCCATGATCGCGTCGGCCTCGCACCAAATGTATAGACCGTGGTCGACTACAGAGGGCGCCCAAACAGCACCCGGCTGTGCGGCAGAAGCGGGCTCGCATCTAGGGGGTGATCTCTGCGCACCCAATGAATCAGCGCTCAGTGGTAATCAGAATCGTGCGTCACCTGCGCCAGCTCGTCGAAAGAGCCGTCGCTCTTCGACACGCCCGCGCCCGGGTGGCTCCCGATGGACAAGAGCGAGACCGTGCGCTTGCAGTCCACCACCGGAGTCGCGATGGTCGAGTGGTCGTCCCCGCCGAGGAGACCGCCGACGGAGAACTGCACGTCGGCCAGATGCTTGACGAGGATGTTGAGGTAGCGGACGCCAGTGATAGTCATGCCCCAGACAATCTTCAGATCCAGCTTGCTGCCGAAGCGCGTCCAGTGCGTGCTGTTGCTCTCGTGAGCTGCGTCCGCAAAGAAGTTGAAGCCAGCGCTGCGTGTTTTCCCTTTGCTCAGCGATAACGACAAGTCTGCTGCCCACTTGCCCTGTACGGAAATTGAATGGAAATACATGTCCGCGCAAGCGCCGCCCATGTGGTAAACCTCACCGTTCACATTCAGCAGGGTGGCTGTGGGCTCCGCATTCCTGGGAATGTGGATCAGCGTGTGATTGCCCTCCCTCTGGATGTCGAAGCGCTGTCCGTACATGTTCACCACGTGGGGGTCGCCGACGGCTCGTGCGTCAGTCACCTCCCGAGCAGGCTTCGGCTTCGCAAACTCCTTCTTCGTGATGTCCTTCGCTGCCTTCGGCTCCTTCGCCGCAGTAGCCTCATTCGCCCTCGCCTGCGCCTTCGCCGCCGCCTGTGCCGCCGCCTGCACAGCCTCCTCGGCCTCGATCTTGCGCTGAGCCTCCTGCCGCTCCGCCCGCTTCTTGGCCGCCGCCGCCGCCTGCTTGGCATATTTGGCCCTCTTGGCCTGCCGGCGTGCTGCGCGCTCGGACTCATGCGCGGCTTGCACCTCCTGTGCCACGCGCTTGGCCTCCTCCGCCGCCGCCAGCTCAGCATCCTTCCTGGCCTCCTCCGCCGCAGCCCCCGCTTGCAGCTTCGCCTTGCGTTCGGCCTCCTCCTTGGCCAACTCCTTGGCCCAACGCTCGTCCTCTTCGCGCTTAGCCTGCGAATTGCGCTCGGCCTCTGCCTTGCGCGCGGCCTCAGCCTTGCGTTCGGCCACATACTCGGCCTTGCGCTTGGCCTCCGCGGCCTCGGCCATTGCCTTGGCCTCCGCCTTGCGCTTGGCCTCCGCCCTCTGTTCGTCTTTCTCCCTGGCCACGCCCTCGGCCTCCGCCTTGCGCATGGCCTCCACCTTGCGCTTGGCCTCGGCCTCCGCCCTCTGTTCGGCTTTCTCCTTGGCCACGCCCTCGGCCTCCGCCTTGCGCTCGGCCTCCACCTTGCGCTTGGCCTCGGCCTGCGCCTGGCGCTCGGCCTCCGCCTGCCGCTTGGCGTCTTCCTTGGCAACGCGGTCGGCCTCCGCCTTGCGCTCGGCCTCGATCTTGCGCTCGGCCTGGGCCTTGCGATCGGTCTCCGCCTTGCGCTCGGCCTCTGCCACGCGCTCGGCCTCCACCTTGCGCTCGGCCTCCGCCTTGCGCTCGGCCTCCTTCGCAGCCTCGGCCACTGCCTCTGCACCAGCCTTGCGCTTAGCCTTGGCCTGCGCCTTGCGGTCGGCCTCGGCCTTACGCTCGGCTTCGGCCTTGCGCTCGGCCTCCGCCTTGCGCTCGGCCGCTACCTTCCGCTCGGCCTCAACCTCGCGATCGGCCTCAACCTTGCGCTCGGCCTCCGCCTTGCGCTCGGCCTCTTTCTTCCGCTTGGCCTCGGCCTTGCGCTCGGCCTCCGCCTTGCGCTCGGCCTCGGCCTTGCGCTCGGCCTCGGCCTTGCGCTCGGCCTCCGCCTTGCGCTCTGCCTCTATCTTGCGCTCTCCCTCTATCTTGCGCTCGGCCTCCGCCTTGCGATCGGTCTCAACCTTGCGCTCGGCCTCCGCATTGTTCTCGGCCTCCGCCCTGCGGTCCGCCTCCTCTTTCGACGCCTTCATGGATCTCTCGCCCTCCGCCGCGCGCTCTGGCTCCTCCTTGCGCTTGGCCTCTGCCTTGCGCGCTTCCTCATCTCGCCTCTCCTGCATTTTGCGCACGGCCTCCGCTCTGCGCCCGGCCTCCACCCTGTGCTTGGCCTCCGCTCTTTTGAAGGCCTCGGCCTTCTCCAGCTCGGCGTCGCGCTTCAGCTTCGCCGCCTGCTGGGCCGCCGACTCCGCGGGCACCCTCTCGCCATCCTTGGTAAGCGCCTGGCAGACCAGGCACTCGGAGCACACCTGCGCGGCGTAGAAGCCTTGGCCCTCGTCGAAGTCTCTGTGGCAGAACTGGTGGTTGTTGCGGTTCGCAGTGTACACGTCACAACCCCCAAAGCCAGCGTCAAAACGTTTGCGGACCCCTGCGCAATCGGCCGGTGGAAGTCGCCACGCACTTTCAACATTGATCTGCATGAGAATGTTGTCCGCCGCAGGCTCCGCATCGCCGGTCGCTGCGACGGCTAGCGAATGGAGGGAGACAATTGCAAGCGCCTTGGGGATAGGCGCCACCATAGCGTCTGTCGTCTGCGCAAAGTAGTACGTCCGTATGGATGACTGTAAATGGTTTTGGGATTGAGAAAGGGGAGGAGGAGGAGGAGGAGCAACATAAAGGGGCCCAGGGACTCACAAATAAATAGAAACATATCCCAGGATTCCAGATGTTTTACATAACTCCTGGATGTTAATCTTCCCCTCCACTGCCCATGTTTCCAATCTTCTCCCGGGAATCCCACCAGCCCTTTGGGCGTGAGTGGTTTAGGGAGCTCTCTCTGTCCTCAACCCCCCTTCTTCCCCTTCGGGGAGGGGTTTACCCCTCCCCCTACCCCCTCCCCCTGGACCTGGACAGGGAGTCCCGGGTCGTCAGGGGGGTCTTTTTCGACTCCTGGGAGGGCCAAAAAACGACGACCCTCACGAGGATTCTGGCCCCCGGGGGGGGGGGAGTTTGGCGCCTCAGCTCGTCTTTGAAGCAGAAATCATTGATTTTACGAAGGTTTTGGCCCCATTTTGGCCTTCTGAGGGGGCCGCGCTCATCTTCCCTCATAGCAAAATCATTGATTTTACGAAGGTTTTGGGCTCATTTTGTCTTCTCAGGGGGCAGCTCTCCTTTGCGCTTCTGCGGAGGTCGCAAGAGGCCCCAAGATGGCCCCAAGAGGCCCCCAGGAGGCTCCCAAGAGGCCTCCAAGAGGCCCCCCAGAGGCCCCCAAGCGGCCCCAAGAGGCCCCCAAGAGGCCCCCAAGAGGCCCCCAAGAGGCCCCACGAGGCCCCAAGAGGCCCCCAAGAGGCCCCCAAGAGGCCCCCAAGAGGCCCCACGAGGCCCCAAGAGGCCCCCAAGAGGCCCCCAAGAGGCCCCCAAGAGGCCCCCAAGAGGCCCCACGAGGCTCCAAGAGGCCCCCAAGAGGCCCCACGAGGAGCCCGAACGACTCACATCAGGACGAGGGGCCCGAACGACTCACACCACGAAGAGCCCGAACGACTCACACCACAAGGAGGGGCCCGAACGACTCACACCAGGACGAGGCGCCCGAACGACTCACACCACGAGGAGCCCGAAGGACTCACACCACGACGCGGGCCCCGAACGACTCACACCACGAGGAGCCCGAACGAGTCACACCAGGAGGAGGGGCCCGAACGACTCACACCAGGATGAGGGGCCCGAACAACTCACACCACGAGAAGCCCGAACGACTCACACCAGGACGAAGAGCCCGAACGACTCACACCACGAAGAGCCCGAACGACTCACACCAGGAAGAAGGGCCCGAACGACTCACACCAGGACGAGAAACCCCAAACGACTCAAATCACGAGGAGCGCTTTCTCTCCCTCCTCCTCCGCCTCGTCCTTCTCCCGCTCCCCTCACAAGGAGGATGTACAAGGAGGCGGGAGGAAGGAGGAACAGGGGAGATATGCGGGGCCAAGCGGACACACGCCTGAAAAACACGACTGTCGGCATGCTTCGCGAGAGTTGCTGCTGTGAGATGGGCTGGTGGGATACGCGAAGCGTAAAGAATCGACGATTATTTGTGCCTGTTTGTTTTTTCCTCCTGAGAGGAGGAAGGAGAGGAGGAGGGGAGCACCAGTGTAAACCCAAGACGCATCAATGATGTTGGAGCAAACCCTTCCTCGAAACTCCCTCTTAATAGGCTTCTACAAGGTTTCATTCCAACTGAGGGAAGTGCCCCGTTGGGAGGCACTCGTTTGACGATCCTGAAGCGTGTCCAAACACCATTCTTGGGCCCCCCACCGTCACGAATCAACTTGGATGTTGCGTCTTGAGGATCCTGAACCGTGCCAAAACACAACGTCTGGGAACACTGCGGATCACCTTAATCTTTGAGCTGGCGATCCTGAATCGTTCCAAACACACATTTTCTGGTTTGTTGACCGTTGGAACCCTGAAAACTCTTTCATATGTTTACTAGGCGCTGAAGCGAGAGCCACAGTTTGAGAAGGAGCCGCCCTCAATCAGTGAAACTCTTGCAAATGTTTAGGACGAATGTGCAAGGCGCTAGGGCGAGAACCACATTTCGAAAACCACCTGCCCTCCATCTGCGAAACTGCTGCCAACTTTTACGCGTCAATACAGAAATCTCGAGCGAAATGGCCCACCATTCCGACTCGCGCCGGAGTAGGACAGGGAAGTGTTAATCACGAGGAACATGAATATAAGAGGACCGTCAGAGTTTGGGCGCCACGCCCCGCGATGCGTGGCTATCTTCGCCTCAATGCGGCTGACGCAGTCTCTGGACGGATATAAAGAGGAACAGCAACCTTGTTGAAGAGGCACGACGCCCACTTATCCCTAGAGATGCACGCATCACGGCAACAAGTAAGCACATCGAACACCGTGACGATGTCCTGCGACTTGGGACGCCCCCATGTGAATACTCAACATGAGACACGGAAGCGCACATAGACGAGTCACATACTGCACAGACAGAAATGGTCGGAAGGCCGCGCGGAACTCCGACACCTTATGCGCACACAATATGTTCCGTCTTAAAAAATTATCCCGGCAAAGCAACCTAACAGCCATGTGTAGGAGCATATCTGGAAGCATTCCCCTTAAAATTCGAATGAGAATCCAGTTGTAGAACTCAGCTGTTCTCGCAGTCGTTGTCGCATTCGCGAGGACAGTCGCAGTGGCAACGGCAGTCGCAGTCACAGCCTCAGCCTCAGCCTGCCTCAGCCTCAGCCTCCGCCTGCCTCAGCCTCAGCCTGCCTCAGCCTCAGCCTCAGCCTGCTTTAGCCTCAGCATCAGTCTGCCTTCGGCCTCGGCCTCAGCCTCAGCCTGCCTCAGCCTCAGCCTGCATCAGCCTCAGCCTCAGCCTCAGCCTGCCTCAGCATCAGCCTGCCTCAGCCTCAGCCTCAGCCTCAGCCTGCCTCTGCCTCAGCCTCAGCCTGCTTCAGCCTCAGCCTCAGTCTGCCGTCGGCCTCGGCCTCAGCCTCAGCCTGCCTCAGCCTCAGCCTGCATCAGCCTCAGCCTCAGCACGAAGCGACCCAGCTAGAAGGACAAAGCGCTGAATGTACACCGATGTGTTCGACGACTGCGTATGTAATGATGTGACGATATACAGACTGAGCCCTTCGTGAATGTCTACATGTTTTTCTGACGCCTACAAACGGCGCTGACGTGTGTGAGAAAATTGTCCGCGCAGCAAAAGCCGGCGAAGCGTGCGGGAGCTCGCATGCTGAGACAGACTACGTCTGCAGACCGCCAGCTGCAAAAAGTTGCGAGCGGCTCTTGGAAGATGTTTACGGAACGGAGCTACGGTGTCTGAAAACATTGGCATCGAAGGGAAGAGCCTCGGAGCCCTGCAACCTGAGAAACACCGCAGGAACTCGCATACTGAAAAGGAATGCATTGCAAACCGCACGCTGCGAACCCTGCAGGCTGAGAAGCACCGCAGGATGTCGCATGCTGAAAAGCACTTGTACTGCAGAGCGCTAGCATCTATCTCGGGCTCGGACCCCCCCGTCCTGATCCAGAACGTGTCCGGCCACGGCCTGAAAATGCCGTTCCAACTCCCGAGGATCAGCTGGCACTCCGGCTCTGGGACACTCCAGTACGTCTTGAGCACCTTGAGCCAGGCCCCATCTCGGGATCCCCACAGCACGCTGTACTTGACCGAGACCGTGCCGAACTCATAACAATTGACCTCCGAAGGACCTGCGAGTGCAGGCTGAGAAACACCACGCGATTGCAGGGCACGGCATTGCGTGTCACATGAGTGCAGGCTGAGAAGCACCACATCTCGTTTGCCAGAGATCACTCCCAGGTTATTTGATCCCGCAACACCAGCCACGGCGTAGCTGCCACAGGGGCCGCAGATAGCAACGGTTCGGTCACCCAATTGGCGTTCCGGTGAGTCACAATTCGCGCGTGGCTCCACGAGCCTGTGTAGCGCGATTTGCGGGGCACCAGTGTGCTGTAGGTGTTGTTGCCGTAGCAGAAGACGGCCTCTGGAGCCCAGTGCGGATTCCAGCGGACAGCGTAGACCCTGTGGACGCCATTGCGGATGACGTCGCGCGCACCTTCGATATGTGCCACCCATCGAAGCCAGTCAAATGCTGAGCCATCGGTGATGTCAACAGCACCTGGGGCAGTCTCGCCATGGTGGTAGTGCAACAGCGATTGGAGAGCGGCGCTGGCTTCGTCGCGGCCCACAATCTGGCGCGAGCAGGCTGCCTCTTGCAGGTGCTCCTGTGTGAAGAGCAGTGGGGCATCACCGCCAGTCTCGGCAGGCTGAGCAGCGCCACCGTCAGGCACGGCAGTCTGAGCAGCGCCGCCACGAGGAACATGAGGCTGAGCAGCGCCAGGCTCAGGCACGGCAGGCTGAGCAACGGCGCGTGGTGGACCGACATAGGTGGGCTCATCGGGTCGGCCGTTCTTATGGTAATGCAGGCGCATGGCTGAACCGTCTGCACGACGGAACTCGAAGAAGTGCCTGCCGTGGCCATCCGTGTTGGAGTAGTTAGGGTCGCGCTCTGTCTCGATGATGCGAAAGAGAACCTGGGCGATGCCCTGCCCGATTATGCGCTCAGCGAAACCC